TCTTCCTCATAACATGAATGCTTTCAGCTGGACAGTAAATTATAAACCATACCAAATCATGTTAAGGCAGATGATCAACCTGTGGTCGCACTTGTAACTACTGCTGGGAAAATAATCTCGTTGGAGTTGGGAGCTTTTCCCAGTTGTTTGGTCAGTTGGCTCAGGAAGGGGCAGTCCTGGAGCTGGCAGGTGGGGGAGCCATGCCCCAACCATCTGGTCACTGCTCGTTCTGCTGGCCTTCTGTGACTGACGCTGACACGGAGACCTGGCCCTTGTTGACATCACTGATGCACACCCACTGCCCGTCAACCGACTCTTTCCACAGGGTCACCTTATTGTCTCTGCCAGAGACGGCCAGAATGTTGGCTGTGATGGACCAGCTTACATGCCACACGACGTCATTGAACTTGTGCAGCAATTTGGGGGACCACGTATTGTCCGAGGCATCATCACAGGTCCAAATAAACACACGACCATCCTGGGAACAGCTGGCGATGGTGCTGGTGGGCAGGCCAATGGAGGGGGCCCAGGCCACGTCTTGGACCCAGTCACTGTGCGCTTCCAGCTTCTGCTCCTCCTTCCACTGGCCGCCCTCCTGCTCCTCCTTCCACAGCTTGATCAGGTTGTCACAGCCACCTGATGCAAACTTCTTGATGTAATTGGGTTTCTGTCCTGACGGCTGGTCTATGAGGCTTCCAGGTACAACAGCAGGGGCCCAGCTGACAGCATTGCAGCCAATGGTGTGAGCATTGTTGATCTTCTTCACTTCCCACTGGCCTCCCCCGGTGTAGGTCAGCAGGGAGATGGCCCCATCCAAGCTCCCACAGGCCAGGATCAGGCCATTGTCGTGGGGGGCCCAGCACACAGAATTTACTGAGGAGTCGTGTCCTGAGTGCTCGTGGGTCTTCTCCCAGGTGCCATTTTCTTCTTTCCAGATAATGACTTTCCGATCATAGGAGCAGGATGTCAGGATATTGCCGTACATGGGGTGGGCCCAGGCCACTTGCCACACGGGACCCTCATGACCCCTGAGGTCAGCAGTGAGGATCTGTCCTCCGTTGCGCACATTGAAGATCTTGACGGACCTGTCTGACGAGCAGGTTGCGAGGCGGGTGCCATAGTAGTCCATCTGGGCATCATGAATCATGTCCTCATAGGAGGTGTCCACAGTGTTAATTACTGACACCAGGACTGCGGCAGTGGCAGGTCTGGGCCTCAGATGTGGCGGCTCCCGGCGGTGCCTCTGAACAGCTCACTTCCCAACAGTTCTTTTTTTAGCACATTAAAAATGTTGAGCCATTTCTTTCTGGCCTTCCTGAAAAATTCACAGTCATTTGAATCATTGTTCGGTATATGTAATATGTCTGACTGCTTTCAAACTTTTTTCTTTGTTTTTAGCTTTTAGTATTTTAATTGCGGTATATCTGGATATGTAATGCTTTGGATTTATTCTGGTAGGGGTTTTCTAAGCTTCTCGAATATATAGATTTTTTTTTTTTTTTTTTTTTTTACAGAGTCTCACTCTTTTGCCCGGGCTAGAGTGAGTGCCGTGGCGTCATCCTGGCTCACAGCAACCTCAACCTCCTGGGCTCAAGCAATCCTTCTGCCTCAGCCTCCCCAGTAGCTGGGACTACAGGCATGCGCCACCATGCCTGGCTGATTTTTTCTATGTATTTTTAGTTGTCCAATTTATTTCTTTCTATTTTTAGTAGAGACGGGGTCTCGCTCTTGCTCAGGCTGGTTTCGAACTCCTGAGCTCAAACAATCCGCCCGCCTTGGCCTCCCAGAGAGCTAGGATTACAGGCGTGAGCCACCGTGCCTGTCTGAATATATAGATTTTAAATCTTTCACTGAACTTGGGAAGCTTTTAGCACTATTACTTCCCTCAAGTAATTTTGTTCTGCACTGGACTCTTTATTTTTTTCTTTGGAGATTTTGATTACACAAATATTATACCTTTTGCTATTCTCCCACATGTCCCTGAGGCTTTGTTCATTTTTTTCCAATCTTTTTTTTTTCTGTAGTTCAGATTAGATAATTTCTATCAATCTATCTTCAAGTGTATTGATTTTCTTCTATCTCTATTCTGCTATTGAGCCCATCCAGTAAGTTTTAAATTTTGATCACTGTATTTTTAAATTCTAAAATTTTCTTTTTTATGTCTTCTCTTTCTTTGCTGAGACTTTCTTTATTCTTTCTTTCTTTCCTTCCTTCCCTCCTTCCTTCCTTCTTCCTTTTTCTTTCTATTTTGATCACTGTATTTTTAAATTCTAAAATTTTCTTTTTTATGTCTTATATTTCTTCGCTGAGACTTTCTTCATTGTCTCTCTTTCTTTCTTTCCTCCCTCTCTCTCTCCCCCTCCCTCCCTTCCTTCCTTCTTTCCTTCTTTCTCCTTCCTTCCTCCCTCCCTTCCTTTTCTTCCTTCCTCCCTCCCTCCCTTCTTTCTTTCCCTTCCCTTCCTTCCTTTTCGTCCTTCTCTTTTTTTTCTTTCTTTCTATCTCACACTGTCACCAGGGCTAGAGTACAGTGGCACAGTCACAGTTCACTGTAACTTCAGACTTCTAGGTTCAAGCCATCCTCCTGCCTCAGCCTTCTGAGTCACTAAGACTACAGGTGTGCTACACCATATTGGATAATTTTTAAATTTTTTTGTAGAGACAGGGTCACACTGTGTTGCTCAAGGTGTTCTCGAACTCCTGGCCTCAAGTGATCCTCCCATCTCGGCCTCCCAGTCTTTTTTTAAATTGTATATATTTAAAGTGTACAACATGATGTTGGCCGGGAGTGGTGGCTCACGCCCGTAATCCTAGCACTCTGGGAGGCTGAGGTGGGAGGATTGCTGGAGCTCAGGAGTTCGAGACCAGCCTGAGCAAGAGCGAGACCCCGTCTCTACTAAAAAAAGAAATAAATTAGCTGGACAACTAAAAATACATAGAAAAAATCAGCCAGGCATGGTGGCGCATGCCTGTAGTCCCAGCTACTGGGGAGGCTGAGGCAGAAGGATTGCTTGAGCCCAGGAGGTTGAGGTTGCTGTGAGCTAGGCTAACGCCATGGCACTCACTCTAGCCAGGGCAACAGAGTGAGACTCTGTCTCAAAAAACAAAACAAAACAAAACAAAAAAAGTGTACAACATGATGTTTTGTTATACTTGCCTTGATATACGTATATAGTGAAATGATTACTACAGTTATGTTTGCTGAGACTTTTTATCTTTTATTTCAAGTATTCACTCTTACCTCTTGGAGTATTTTTATAATAGCTGCTTTAAAGTCTATCAGATTTCCCTGTCATCTTGGCATTGATATATATTGTTTATCTTTTCTAATGTGAGTTAAGATTTTTCTAGTTCTTCATGTACCTTGTAGTTTGGGATTATATCCTGCAGATTTAAATATTATGTTAAAAGACTCTGAGTCTTATATAAATCCTATGAAGAATGTGGATGTTTTTCTTTTAGCAGGCAATTACTGCAGTTTGGTTCAGCTACAAAGTTAGCCTTCTGTGGACTATGGTTTCAATGTCAGTTCTGTTTTCAAAATCTTGGTAGTACTAAGATTTGGATCTGCCCTGTGTGTTTGTTCAACCCAGTGGTGGTCAGTCTGGGACCTGGGTAGTAATCTATCCCTTAGTTATGTTCTTAACATCTTTGGTATGCTGTGTAGGATTCCATTCACACAGGTGCAGTTTTGGGGTGAGACTAAGAGTTCTTATACAGCTTTCTGTGGTATGTTTCCCTAGCTCCTCCTTTTCTGAAAACTCCCTGATACTTTCTGATTCCCTGAGCCTCCCCTTTTGGTTCTGGCCAGAAAGCTGGGGCTTTTGTTACCCTGTTCTGCTGGGCACATGTGGGGATAGACAGCAGGAGCACAGAAAGAGAAAGCAAGCTATGGTGTTGATTTCAGCCTCTGGGATCCACAGCTCCTCTGACTGGAGAGGAAGTTTTACCTCTTTCAGTACTTTAGGTGCTTGCCGAAGCCCACCGATACCACTGTTACTGCCGCAGCCACCACTGGGAGATAACCTGTATACACAAGTATGGAGACAAGGGGGAGAAAAATAAGAAAAATGGATGATCTCTCCTATTCCCTCTGAGAGTTAGGAGTTCTCTTTCTTGTTCTCTGAGCCAAAACAACAGAATTTGTCCTAGAGCTTCCTTTGTGCCCTGGTACTCAGTTCTAGTGTTCAGGATGCCTTGAGTCTAGGCTAGGGGATGTCAGAAGAAAAATGGGCAACTCACCACCAGTTCAGTGGTACTTGAATTCCTTCCTACTTCCCTAGTCTGCCTGCTACCATAAACCTGGGGTCGGTCTCTGTCACCCAGACTGGAGTGCAGTGGCACAATCATAACTTACTACAACCTTGAGCTCTTGGGCTCAAGCGATCCTTCTGCCTCAGCTTCCTGAGTAGCTTAGGAGTACAGGCATGCACCACCATGCCCAGCTATTTTTTTAAGAGACAGGGTCTCAATATATTGCCCAGGCTGGTCTCAGGGTATCCTCCTGCCTTGGCCTCCTAAAATGCTGGGATTACAGGCATGAACTACCACGCCTGGCCTCATGTACTAGAATCCACAAGTAGCAGCTCTGTCCATTCTGTCCAGTTTTTATATTTGTATTCAGTAGGAGAGGCAAGGTGGAGTGAAGTATGCTTACTCCATCATAGTCTGAACTGGAAGTCAGTTTTTTTAAATTTCTTTTTAATTTTGTAAAAGTCTGACTTTTTTATTACAAATACATATCTTCATTGTAGAAAACTTGGAAAATAAAGGTAAAGGTAAAATAAGGGAAGCTAAAATCTTCTGTGAGCTCATGAACTACTGCTATTTTGGTGTTGATAATATCCTTTTTAATTTCATATATGTATTTTTTCAATTTTAACAATAAAAATTAGATAATACATCATGTTGTTAGTTGTTATAACAGTAATCTTAAGAACCAGATACTATTGACTTGATCTAATATCTAATGTTTTTACTAAATTTTCTGTTTTCCTGAATAGGTAGAAAATCTTTACCCTCAAGCTGGCTGGGTTGAAATTGATCCTGATGTTCTTTGGCTTCAGTTTGTTACTGTAATAAAAGAAGCTGTCAAAGGTAATTAGATTTATAAAAATAACAATAGTCTTTACAGTAGTATGTTTTGTTCATATTAAGAGTTTTCCTTAGATTTCTATAGTTTTGTTTTCCTAAGTTAGAATTATACATAAAATATTTTATTGGGGTCACAATTTCCCAGTATTTTTCAAGGGAAATTTGTGGTTTATGGTGAACAACTTTGTCAAGGAAAGGTAACAGCAATTATGTCCTCTGGTTTGTCTGTTTTCAGCTGTAATATAAATGCTCACCCTCCTCTATTCTAGGTTATAACTGGTACTGATTGGATTTCTTGTTGGGTACAAAATACCAGAGGTTATTAACAAAGTTACTATATACAGTTCCTACTCTCATGAATTTACAACTGAGTTACCTTTATTGTAAAGTAAGGGTTTTTTGGTATTTATTTATTTATGTTTTCTGTTTGCCACTTGATACAAAGTGCTCTCCTGGCCACAGCCATGGTCTAAAATCTTAGTTCTTTAAAAACATTTTCAAGGCTGGGCGCGGTGGCTCACGCCTGTAATCCTAGCACTCTGGGAGGCCGAGGTGGGCGGATTGTTTGAGCTCAGGAGTTCGAGACCAGCCTGAGCAAGAGCGAGACCCCGTCTCTACTAAAAATAGAAAGAAATTAATCGGACAACTAAAAATATATAGAAAAAATTAGCCGGGCATGGTGGCGCATGCCTGTAGTCCCAGCTACTCGGGAGGCTGAGGCAGGAGGATTGCTTTAGCCCAGGAATCTGAGGTTGCTGTGAGCTAGGCTGACGCCACGGCGCTCACTCTAGCCAGGGCAAAAGAGTGAGACTCTGTCTCAAAAAAAAAACAAAAAAAAACCATTTTCAATAACAGCCTTCTTTAAGAACGTGGTGAAAGATGACTTATAAATGTAAATCCTAAGTCTTTTACTTCATTTTTTCTGGCTAAATTGCTTCTTATCTTTTTGTTTTCAAATATTTCAAAACCTATTTAAAAAGTTGCAAGAATAATACAATGAACTCAGGTATATCCTTCTTCTAGATTCCAGATATATTTTGCAATGTTTACTATTTTCTACAAACTATTTTTTTTTTTTTTTTTTGAGACAGAGTCTCACTCTGTCACCCTGGGTAGAGTGCAGTGGTGTCATCATAGCTCACTGCAACCTCCAACTCCTGGGCTCAAGCGATCCTCCTGCCTCAGCCTCCTGAGTAGCTGGGAGTATAAGCACATGCCACTGTGCCCAGCTAATTTTTCTATTTTTAGTAGAGATGAAGTCTCGCTCTGGCTCAGGCTGGTCTTGAGCTCTTGAGCTCAAGCAGCCTCCCAGAGTGCTAGGATTACAGGTGTGAGCCACCACACTGGGCCTATTTTTTTTTTCTGAATCATTTGAGGGTTAGTTGTGCCACAGCAATCTGTCACCCTTAACTACCGCAGCAGTATCTCCAAAGAAAGGGAGTATTTTCCTCCATAACCACAATGCAGTTATCAATTAACAGAAATTTAACATTAACACAGTACTAGTTTCTAATGCTCTTTCATCAATATTCTCTCTTAGCAAAAAAAGTAACTTCTTTTTTCAATCTAGAACCCAGCCAAAGATGAGGCATTGCATTTAGCTGTCGGTCTATTTAGGCTTCTTTCATCTAGAGCATGTTCTTCATGACATTGACAGTTTTCAAAAGTAAAACCCAGTTTATTAGATCGTCCCTCATTTTGGGGTTGTGTGACTGTTTCCTCATGATTAGATTCAAGTTAAATATTTTTGGAAGGAATACTATAATATATAGGGGGTGATATGTTTTCCTCAGTGCTTAAATCAAAGTTATGCCAAATTTTCCCAGTGGGATAAATTGATTTTAAAAGAATATCACAAAAAACACTCGAGTTGCTACATTTTAAGAAAATTGGGCTAAAAAATCCAGGTTTTTATTTGTGTCCTGACATCAGTTTGTATTGAAAATAAGATCTCAGCTTCAATTATTATACTACTTTCCCTAGAGGTTTTCCTTTATTGCCATCAACTAGCTTCTATTATGATTGATGATTGCTTAAATTAAGATCCAATCCTTTCTTATTATCAAGAAGAAATACAATCTCACTTACTTTGAATAGTATTTGCTTTTTTCTAACATTTAAGCAAAAAGCGCCATTTTGTTTATTAGGATATGACCATTTTTACTTTCAAGTAAAAAAATGATACAGGATCATCTTAGTAATGCTTTATTTATTAGCTCCAATTGCTTTATTTAGAATGCTAAACATATATTTTTGTTAAAGATTGTATTGAATACTTTCTTTTTCATATTGTAATATTGTAAAGAAAAACTTCACTAGCTTTTAAACGTGTTTTATCTGTGTTTAATTTTAGGGGCAGGAATACAGATGAATCAAATTGTTGGTCTTGGCATTTCAACCCAGAGAGCTACTTTTATCACGTGGAACAAGTAAGCACATTGTGTGATAAGCACTCTACCGCTGGGGTCGTGCCACAGTGAATGTAGTGCTATGAATCCTGTTTGGGGAGTTTTAAACTTGTGAACTGAGAACAGTTTTGCTTGGTTAAAGGATGAAAATGGACCTACTTTCTGGTTTATATGCCGTCTGCATGTCATCTGGGCTTATGTAAAATAATAACAATAAAAAGACTATTGCTGTTGTTAAATTCTCCATTCCTTTCTTTTATGTAAGTTAGCTTTTCAAATAAACATTGATTGGAGAGCTGAAAACTTAGCTTATACCTAAAAAGAATCAGGGGAACCTAACAAATTTCAGAAACATTATACTATGCTTAAGGTTTATATTTGCAGTTTCTTCCACATTTAATATTTGTCTACAGCATATGAGGCATATATAAACTAAACACAATTATAATGGCATAATAAATACCATATAGTGAACACTTGTGACACTCCCAAGTTATATTATACTTACAACATATCTATTATTTAGGCATTATTTCTGTTTTTACAGAGAAAGAAACTGAAGCTCAGAGAAATAAGTAAGTTGTTTAAGGTCACTCAGTAAATAGAGCCAAGATTCCAAATTATCTTTTTGACTCTGAGGCATATGTTCTTCCCACTACCCCCAAATTGCCTTCAGCGTGTGTTTCTGGCTTTTAAAAAAACAATGCTGTAAAATGTGTCTTTGTTACTAAGCACTGGGCTCCAAAGGACATTTTGAGCTTAGCGAGTGGAGAAGAAAAGTGGGCAGAGGGAGTGGGGATGAGTCTGAGAAATATAATCAGGGTGTATTCACAAAGACTTGGCTTCTAATTCAGTATTAAGCTAGAGGAAGAAGTTTGAATTTACCAATATTCTTTGATATTTGTGGTATATGATAGAAATCATAGAGAATATAAGGAATGAGTTGGGTGGTGGTGGGAGTAGGAAGAAGGGAAGATGATAAAGTGTTTGGTTTTGGACATGTGAATGTGGCAATATCCCAGAAGTGGCTGGAACATTGGTCTAATTTAGACTGAGGCACAGCCTGTCTCCTTCAGATACATACTCTTTTTCAGGGCATGATGCATATCAGATTGAGGCGTGCATCTGCAGTTTCCCTGTACCTACCCCCCCAGTGCCTTGGGTATGGCAAATCTTAAATAGTAATATATTCGTCAGATGAAGGAATGAATGAATGAAAGTTATCTGTGTAGATCAGGGTATCTAATCAATGGCACTCTTGACATTTTTGGCCAGATAATTTTTTGTCTTGTGGCATTGTAGATGTTTAGCAGCATCCCTGGTCTCTACTCATGAGATGTCAGTAGCACCCCACCCTACTCCCCACAAATGTCTCCAGATCTTGCCAAATATCCTCTGGGGTCAAAATAACCCCCAACTGAGAACCATCGGTATTGAAGTCTTGAAAAATAGGTATGTTCTCTGGTAGAGATTATGTGGAGAGAAGAGATACAAGCTGAAGATTTAGACTATGGGTTTTTCTCTCTACAAATTTGAAGGGAGTTAGGCCAGCCTGGGCAACATAGCAAGACCCTGTCTTTAAAAAAATATTAAAAAGTCAGGCATGGTGGCTTGTGCCTGTAGTCCCAGCTACTAGGGAGGCTGAGGCAGGAGAATCGTTTGAGCCCAGGAGTTCAAGGCTGCAGTGAGCTGTGATGACACCACTACACTCTACCCTGGGCAACAGAGCAAGACCCCCGTCTCTACAAAATATAAATAAAATAAAAATAAAGGGAGTCAAAGAAGAAAAAGCTAACAAAACAGGACCAGGGTGAATCTGGGAAGTGGATCGTGTGGAAAAGGAGGTAGAAGAGTGTTCTCAGGATAGGAACTGATTGGATATGTCACATTTGATTGGATTTGGAGATTACATCATTGGCCCCAGAGATTGCTTTCATCAGGACCTGGCTACTATATCATTCATGACAAGAAAGTAAAAGGAAGCAAAGTTTCTGTGTGACACTAGGACCATACCTCACTTTTAGAAGGAATAGAAGTTAGATTCTAAGACAGTTCACTTCCCTTACTGGTATTGCTCGTGGCATACTGGGATAAGATTTCTTCCTCAATTAACTGTGAGTTTACTTTTTTGGTTGCCCTTTTTTCTTTTTTGAAATGTTTGTATCCTTTCATGAGTTTTGGAAACATTCCTTGCTTGTAGAAACTGAAATACTGGGCATTTTTTGAAAAAATATGTAAGACTTTGTGCTGCTTTTACCTTAAAACAATGGAGCCTTCTTTTGCTCATTGGGTCCCAGTTGAACCACTTTGGTGTAGATATAATGCTGGCAGATTCTACAACAAGTTCCCCGAAAAACAGCTGGGACACAACACAGGAGGCACAGCTCAGGGCCAGCCGTTAGTACTTCCTGCTCATTTGTGAGAGAAAAAGAGAAAGACTGAACTCTGGGAAACAATGTATTGTTCCTCGTAGTCCCAGCCAGCAACTCCTCCCTGTACGTTGTTTTTTCCCTCTTGTGTCCATGGTGCATTTCTGTCACATCGTTTTTCTTAACAGTTACTGTCAGGAAGGCTAAAACTTTGAACTTTGTTTTTGTCTCTGTCTTTGTCCCCACCTGTACCTCCGCTCCCAACAAACCGGGACCAGGAAACTCAGTTTTTATTAACTTTTTTCAGCCCTTAAGTTTTCTTCATATTCTTAGGTTAATTTTTTTCTGGTATATTTAATTGGTGGTGTGTTTAGCCTGCTTTCTAAAAGAACTCTAAATGGCATCTCCTCCGTTTTGGTTCTTTTAAATTCCTTTTGTTCTAAAAAATCATAAGCTGTTTTGTTTCTTCAGTTACTGTGTCTCTCAGAGAGACTTTTGCCAGTTAACCTCAGATCAGGGTGTGTGCCACTTAGCAACATAAACTATGAGTCATAGGAACCCAGGTTCACTCAGTAACTGTGAGAGCTCACGGCGAGTAACGTACCGTGCTGCTTGCTGAACTGGATATGAAGATGAGTTAAGAACTCCAGCCCTCAGGGAATCTCCAGTCTCATTATACAAGTATATAAATCACTCTGTGTTCCCGTGGCACCACGTATATTTTTTATTGTGGTATTTGTTACTTACGTTAGTGGTTCTTACCAATTACTTATGACAAAATATATTAAGAGCCACAGAATGGTATAAAGTATTAGAGGGGTTTAAGATAATTTAGTCACAATATTATCATTTATGCTTCTCCTTCATTTCTCCTTTTATTGTTGATAGAGATAAAATAAACCCAAATCAATGCTAAGTGAATATTGGAATATGTGCCACTACTTGAGATCAGCATTTTTTGAGATTAGATTGTCTTGTACTGTGTTGTGAATTAATGATGCCACATTCCTCTTGTGATTTCCCCCCCTCTCTTTGCTCTTCAGTCACACTAGCCTTTCAGTCCCTCTAACACATCATGCTTCATCCTGCCGTAGGACCTTTGAATGTATAACATATTTTGTCAGGAATGTTGACCCTCCTTATTCCTGTTCATCCTTCAGAGCTCAATTCCATTGTCACTTCTCAAAAAGCCCTTTCTGAGCTCCAGACAGGGGCTCCCTGTTAAATACACTCATGACACCCTGTATTTCTCCTTTGTAGGACTTATTCCTATTGCAAGTAAACAACTGAATAATTGATAAGTTGTTTGAATTCCCTGGCAGAAAGTATATGTATATATTTTTTTCTTTTTCTTTTTTTTTTGAAACAGAGTCTCACTCTTTTGCCCTGGGTAGAGTGCAGTGGCATGATCATAGCTCACTGCAACCTCAAACTCCTGGGCTCAAACGATCCTCCTGCCTGAACCTCCCAAGTAGCTGGGACTACAGGCATGCACCACCACACCTGGCTAATTTTTCTATTTTTGTGTTAGAGATGGGCTCTCACTATGTTGCTCAGGCTGGTCTCGAGCTCCTGGTCTCAAGCAGTGCCGTCACCTCGGCCTCCCAAAGTGCTAGGATTACAGGCATGAGCTCCTCACCCAGCCCAGAAAGTATATTTATATGGGCAAAGGTGCCATGTGTCTCTATTCGTAGCTATGTCCCCAGCCCTGGCACAAATAGCTTTATGAATATTTCCTGAAACCAGTGATTAAAAATTAGATTTAAATGTGTAAGTACGTGCTACTGTAGAATGGCTCCAAAGAATTATATATCAATAGATTTCATTTTCGTCAAACACAATTTAATTTTTGACAAGGGCGCCAAGACTAGTCAATAGAGAAAGAATGGCCTTTTCAACAAATGGTGTTGGAAAAACTGGATATTCATATGCAAAATAATGTAGTTAGACCCTTATCTGACACCATATACAAAAAATGGATCAAAGGTCTAAATTTAAAAGCTACAACTAAAAACTCTTAGAAGAAAATGGGAAACTCTTCACAACTGTGGATTTGGCAGTGATTCCTCAAATGACATAAAAAACACAGGTTAGGCGTGGTGGCTCACGTCTGTAATCCTAGCACTCTGGGAGGCTGAGGTGCGAAGATCGCTTCAGGTCAGAGTTTGAGACCAGCCTAAGCAAGAACAAGACCCTGTCTCTACAAAAAATAGAAAAATTAGCAGGGTGTGGTAACATGAGCCTGTAGTCCCAGCTACTTGGGAGGCTGAGGCAGGAGGATTGCGTGAGCCCAGGAGTTTGAAGTTGCAGTGAGTTATGATGATGCTACTACACTCTAGCCTGGATGACAGAGCGAGACTTTGTCCCCAAAACAAAAAACAAGAAAACAAAAACAAAAAAACCACAGCCAACAAAAGAAAAACTAGGTAAATTGGACTTCATCAAAATTTTAAACTTTCATGGATCAAAGGACACTGTTTTCATCCATTTATGATGTCTAATTTTTCCTTAAGTTTGTTAACTGTTGGAACTCTCCAAAGTAGAAAAATTATGCTAAGTTTAATCATAAATAATATGAAATAAAACCATGTTAAAATTATTTTGACATAGTATGAAATTTGTGTTTTTGAAATGTCTGAAAAAATTTATAGTCATTGATATCAAATCTCCAGTTAGACTTCTGAAACCAAGTGCAGCATGTAATATGGAAGGTATGTGTCTTGGTATGTTTGGTTTATAATTTCATTTAAGTTTAGGACTAAAACAATAGGAGAATCATTTCTCTGATTCGTACTAATGATAATCATGACTGTTCAGATGTCGAAAGGAAAAAGAAGTAACATGCTCATGATGTAGGTGAATGCTGTTATTCCCATTAATAAAGGTGAAAAACAGGAAAAAAGGACACTATTCGAGAAAGTTAAAAGACAACTCACAGAATGGGAGAAAATATTTGCAAATCTAATGTCTGATAAGGGATTACTATCCAGAATATATGAAGAATTCCTACTACTCAACGAACAAACAACCAAACAACTCAATTCATAAATAGATAAAGGACTTGAATAATGTATAAATAGTCAATAAGCACATGAAAGGATGCTCAACATCATTAGTCATCAGGGAAATACAAATTAAAACCCCAGTGAGATAGCACTTCACACCCACTAGAATATCAATAGTAAAAAAAAACGGAAGATACCAAGGTTGGTGAGGATGTGGAAAAATTGGAACCCTCATACATTGCTGGTGGGAAAGTAGAATGGTGCAACTGCTGAGGAAAACAGTTTGGCAGTTCCTCAAAAAGCTAACCATAGAATTACCATGTGACCCAGCAATTCTACTCCTAAGTATATACCTAAAGAAATTGAAAACAAGGAGTCAAACAGATAGTTGCACACCAGTGTTTTATAGCAGCAGTATTCATAGTAGCCAAGTGTGCATCAGCATATATATGGATAAACAAAATGTAGTTTGTAAATACAATGGAATATTATTCAGCCATAAAAAGGAATAAAGTTCTAATACATGCTACAACATGGATAAATCTGAAAAACATTATATACTAAGTGGTACAAGCCAAATATAAAAGGACAAATATTGTATGATTCCACTTACATATGATGCAACTAGAATAGGCAAATTCATAGAGACAGAAAGTAGAAGTTACCAAGGATGGAGTGAAGAGGGAATGGAAAGTTATTTCTTTTTTTTTTTGAGACAGAGTCTCATTATGTCACCCGGGCTAGAGTGCCATGGCATCAGCCTAGCTTACAGCAACCTCAAACTCCTGGGCTCAAGCGATCCTTCTGCCTCAGCCCCCCGAGTAGGTGGGACTACAGACGTGTGCCACCATGCCCGGCTAATTTTTTCTATATTTTCAGTTGTCCGACTAATTTCTTTCTATTTTTAGTAGAGATTGGTCTCGCTCTTACTCAGGCTGGTCTTGAACTCCTGAGCTCAAACAATCCCCCACCTCAGCCTCCCAGAGTACTAGGATTACAGGTATGAGCCACTGTGCCCGGCCTGGAAAGTTATTTTTTAATTGTTACAGAACTTCTGTTGGGGGTGATGAGAGAATTTTAAAAACAGTGGTGATGGTTACACAACATTGTGAATGTAATTAATGCTACTGAATTGTACACTTAAAATGGCAAACTTCATGTTACGTATACTTTGTCACAATTTTTTTTTCGAGACAGCGTCTCACTCTGTCACCCAGGCTGGAGTACGGTGGTGTGATCATAGCTCACTGCAGCTTCCAACTCTTGGGCTCAAGTGCCTCAGCCTCCTGAGTACCTGGGACTATAGGTGTGGCCACCACACCGGGCTAATTTTTTTTTTTTTTGGTAGAGCCAGCTTCCTATGTTGCACAGGCTGGTCTTGAACTTCTGGCCTCAAGTGATCCTTCCACTTCAGCCTCCCAAAGTGCTGGGATTAGAAGCATTAGCTACCACACCTGGCCTACTTTGCCACAATTTTTTAAAAATGAAAAAGTCAAGGGTCAGAGAGTGCGATGGCAAGTTGTTAGTTAAAGCGATAGACCATGGGATCCAGGAAAGTAAGCGTACCTAGGAGGGATTGGTAGGAAGAAAAGGGCATGTTCAAGGGATTAAAGGTTGCAGTAGTTTGAAGGGGAAGACTAAAGAGTCTTTAAAGAATAAGACTGAGAGAACTGAAATAATATCAAGATGTGCCGACTGCTATATTGCAGTGTTAGACTTTCAGAAGTGGAACGTGTAAAGATGGGAATGTAACCATGGATGTAGACTGCTAAAGAGAGTGGAGAGTGATAGCCTTGGGAATGGTTGAATTCACACAGGAGAAGCCCTGGAGATAGGTTAGAAAGCAAGCCTGAATTGGATATTGAAGATTATTACATGCCAGTGGTTGATTTGCAGGAGCCTCAAAGGAAAAAAAAATTTCTTCTTCTGTATTTCTCGGCTCTGTACTTTTATTGTAGCATTGACCCAGGGTTTGTTGAATTTTTGTTTATTGGAGAAATTTTGGTAAGCATTTTAATTTTAGGTTGCCAATGGCTAAGCCAATCCTAAAGTTGAGAGGCATAGAAATAGGCTCAGGCAGTATTTCAGCTCTTCTGTAGGTCAGAGGTTTTTATCTGATTGTGTCTATAAAGATAAGTACAATAAAGTGGAAAAAGCATTGCCTTTTTTAATCTTTTAACATGTGTAGAGCAAGTCTTCAAAAGACTTTTCATTAGTTTGTTTTTGGAAGCGTATATATTGTAGCATTTCAAAAAAGAATCTTTTTGGATAGAATCTCATCTAAAATTTCATGCTGTACATCACATCGTAATTGTTATACAGAATGCATTCAATTTATAAAATCAAAGAGAACAAGTCATTCAGAAAGCCCCATCTAATTAAATAATACTTTGATATTACAGTTTGGCTTCTAATTTTGTTTCTGTGGTGGCAGATCTTTAATATAGTGTGGTTTATATTGAGTCTTAATACACTGTTTCCATCTTTCTTAGGAAAACAGGAAATCATTTTCACAACTTTATTAGTTGGCAAGACCTAAGAGCTGTTGAACTTGTAAAATCTTGGAATAGTTCTCTTCTAATGAAGGTAATCTTTTTCTTATCATCTGTGGTTTGGATATTATTGTTTTTTCCTGCAAATATCCCTTAACTGTAGACTTAATTGTATTGTTTTAGAACATTGAGAGGAGAATACACATATATTCACTCTCTATACCAGTGAAATTTACTAATAAATTAAACTTACTTATTATTTATCCAAAACAATATGTGGTAGACTTAAGTACTTGTAGCTCAGGAAGTCCTCAGGAGGTTTGGGGTGGACCAGAGTTTTACATGTTGGTGAGAATTTGTGTTTCTGCCCGTGAGAAATGGAAACAATACAGACTAAATAGAATGAAATGTCCAAATTTCATCATCTTTAGTTTTAAAAGTGGAGAATGGATATTGAGATAGATAATTAGCAGACTGCCACAAGTGCTTAACATTACTCGAGGCACGTAGTGGCTACCAGTAATTGATAGTGATGTTGGTGATGACAGTGGCAACAGCAACATCATCAACATCAGCTGCTCTTCTGTTGCTTCTTTGAAATCTCCCTCACTCCCAAGTGTGAGATTACTGATCAAAGGGTAAGACAATTTGCCAGCTCCTCAAATGTGGTCAGACCTACAATGTTTGAAGTCATAATCAATATTCCATATTAATTATTTTAGTACTTCTAATGCCTCACTGTGAAATGCCTTCTGAGCTAGTGTACCGGCACCAGATTGTGCCCAGCAGCGTGTCTGGAGCATCAGTTTTACTTGATAAGTATTCGAAGACATTAATTTTATATGAAAACAAACATAAATATATTAT